GGGGGGGGGGGGGGGGTTGGAGAAAGTCTCGATGTGGGGGAGGGGTAGGCAGGGAAAGCCAGCTTGTGGGCTGTTCAGTTGTTTTTCAGCCTCCTTCTGGATTAAACAGAGCTCCTGAAAGTTTGCTTAAAGAACCTAATTGCCATTAATAACTTTTTCTTTGAACCATTTTAGTGACTCTTCCTTTTTTCCTCAGGTTAACCACTCTGTCTGGACTGAATTTATAAATTTATGAGTTTATCAATTCAAGTGACCCTAATAGTGGCTTTTTCAAAGAATCATTGTGGAAACAATTTGGAGTGACAGCTCACTAAAATAAATAGGAGGCCAGATTATTATGACCCTAATTAAGGTTGAAGAGTTTGAGCTCTATTCTGGTATTACCGAGACACTGAATGTTTAAAGAAGGTACAAGGGTGGGAGAGAAAGTGCTGGAAAGGGCAGCCCCAAAGTGATTGATCCTAAGACTACCTAAATGTGAGAGAAGTCCATTCCAGCCAAGAGGTGCCTAATACAAACCTGACTGACCATAGACCTACCTTGGTAGCATGTTAAAGTCATGATTCCCACATCTCACCCTCAAGTACTGGGTGTTTTCAAAGTTTGATTTCTAGTGGAACCATCTGGGGAACTTCTATCCAGACCCAAATGCAGACCAGTTAAATTAGAATTTCTGGGGATGAGGCTCAGGCATTTTATTTTTATTTATTTATTTATTTTTAATTCTGGTGTAGCTAAGATTGAAAGTTGACACTTTACATACTGAATCAGAAGCTCCATGGGTGAGGTCCAGGAATCTGTATTTTTAACTAGTTCGTGGAGCAGCATTTAAAATTGATGGCAAGAGGTATGGATTAAGTGAGTGAGGGACAGCAGAAATCAGGAGTGGTGGGAGAATTGAAAGAAATGGCAGTTAGAGTGGTTCTAGTTAGAGATGCTCAAGAGACTCATGGTAGAGTACTCAGAGGACTGTCAGTGTTTGGAGTTTGGCCTTGCTGCCTTGGAGAGGTGATGCAAGTCTGCAGAATCAAGGAGAATAAAGAACTTGAACTAGTGTACGGGTGTGTAGGGCTGATGATGTGAATATTAAATTTACTGAGGTAGACAGATTGGAATGAAGGAGAATATTACACATTAGTTGCTGATGTAATACAGATATTATAAAAAAATTGTGAAAGGTGAAGGAGAAAATGCTCAAAGGAGGGGCAGAAATAACAGGGGCTATTCAGGATGAATTTGACTGTCCACTTCAACATTTAATCAGGTGAACAAGATAAGGTAGGTTCTTCATGGAATAGGGTACCAAAAATGAAGTGGGTTCAAGAAAGAGCTAGATTTTACTTGGGTCAGAGAGGTGAAGAGACATGGCGGAAATCAGTTTAGAATTTTAAAGGGAAGTTTGCCTACAAAGGAGGTCAGGAAACTTGTCAGTTAGGTGGAGGGTAGAAGGGTGTGGACAGGATAAGGTGTGTGGACAGGATTTGCTGAGAAATTGGTAACAGGAATGGGAAGTTTGTATGCATTGTGTCAGATGAGCATAAATGGGGTTAATGGAGCCCCTGGACCAAAATGTAACTACCAGTTATTGAACATCTATTATGTTTAGCTTTGTGTTAGATGCTACAGAAAACACAAAGCAAGATTTGAGAAAATGGTCCCTGCTTCAGGGTATGCAGGGCTAACACAAAGCAAAGCAATATGTGAAAGCCACAATGAGCCATAGAAACAATTTGCACTATAGGAGAACAGAGAAAGGAGATCAGTGTGTGCAGAACTGTGAAGAAAGGCCTTGAAATAAAGGTAATTATTTAAGTTGGCTGGCCAATGAAGGATGATAGGATTTGGATGGGCAAAAGAAAGTGGGCAAAGTAATCCAGTGGGGAAAACAACACGAGCAAGGCTTGAAGGGAAAAATTAGGGAGCAATAAAGCGAGCCCAAAGGAAGCATGCTGGGAACTTGTGGGAGGTAAGTAGGATTGCATGGGGGCTGGAGCCTGCTCACTAGGCAGAGAAGTTTGGACATTTTTTTTCTGTGGTTAGTGGAAGCCATTGGAATTTCTTAAACAGAGGATTGACATAATGAAATCAGTGGTAGTGTATAAACTGGAGGAGGGAGGAGGGAAAAAGTGAAGGAAGGAGCTTTGTAGTGCATTCCTGAGATGATGAGTGCATCCACAGGGTGGTGGCCATGGGGTAGAATGGAAGGGATGAAAGAATCCACATGATGTGGAACCTAACTAGTTAACAGGAGTGAAACAGAAGGAAGATTATTAGTAAAGAAAATGGACTCTTAAGGTTTCCAGGTCAAATTAACGTTTGTCTGTGGGTGTGGGTTTAGGTGTATGTGAACTTACCTTAACCCTGCCCAGTTAGATTTTGGGATAATCTTATATATGGAAAATCTTGTACCCTTTGTTCATTATGATCTAAACAAGAGGCAAAATGGAAAAGTATGCTATAGTGGTGAAGGGGTTTTTAGTAATTTAATAAACTATAGATATTACGAAAATACATCATAGGTGTAACAAGTAGTAACTATGCCTACTCTGTGCTAAGCATTTTTCCATGTATTCTCTCATTTAGTCAGTTAATACAACCAAAAACAACCACACGGAAACCTGTGAGGAAGATATTATTCCTAATTCACAGAAGAGTAATGTGAGAATCAAGTTACGTGTACCTTGCCAAAGGGTAAAATGGCTAGTACGGGTCAGAGGTTGGTTTATAATTGAGATGTTTCTGCCTCAGAAAACCCATGCTCTTTCCCCTATTCTGAACACTTTGTATCTTTGGTCATAGGTATAGGGGGATGTGGTACAAAGAACCTGTATCTGTAGCAGTACTTCTAGTTTAGAAAAGGATGTGTTCCAGTAACAAATTTGTTCAAAATTTTGTTACCAGAGATTGAACTATTATGGGAGAGAAAGATATGTTCTAGGATATCTTATCATTTCAATTTTAACATTATGGTATGAATATATCTTTAAATTTTATGTAAATTAAAACAATCTGGTTAAAGCAAGGTAATCTGAGAGCCTTAAGACATAAAAAGGGAGGGCTATGGTTATATAAATATATTCTCAGCTGTTTCTAATTTTGAGTGGGTTGTAAAGTCTATTGGTCAACATTTTTTTTTAAACTGCAAAGCCATAATGTAGTCACCTGCTTATTATTCTCTCTTTCATAATTAATCCAGGATATTAGGACACAAATAATTTGACTATTTTAACAATTGGAGAAAAGTGGTCCTTATAAATTACGAACCAGAGAACTTCCAAAGTATCAAATGAAAGGAAAAGAACGGCCGAGACTCGGACTAACAGTTCACCAGAGAAGTCCCGTTTATTTAAAGACTGCACATCTATTTATAGAGAGCCGCGTTCAGGGACTGGGTAGGAAGTGGACGGGGCAGTAGCTGATTGGACGGGATTGGACGGGTGTGTGTCCTGATTTGTGACAGGTTGGATTCTGGCGCCGGTGGGATCTTTTGGCACCGGCAGGATCACTTACAGCAGAGAAGAACCCGGAAGGGCGCCATATTGCTAGGGAGTGTCTCCTGTCGGGTGCCCATGGGATCCCCACATTCCTCCCTTTTTCCTCTATTGCGGGGACAGGGTCGTCGAAGTCATTGAGCTACTTCCTGCTGGAGAGGGGCATTGTGGGGAGGAGGAATTAGGGGGGAATAGGAGGCCCTTTATTAGGCCCCAAAGGAGCAGGGGAGAGCATCCATGCATCTGCAGCCAAGGCACCCAGGAACAGAGACCATCGGTGGTGTAGATCCATCTCCTAACAGCGCGTCAACCGTTCCATTGAAGAGCAGGAGGGGGTCTTCTGTGGCCAGTAGCTGCTAAGCAAAAGCTGGTTAGAAGCTTGGTTAGAGATTTTTCCAACTTGGACAGGGCAGAAAGAGGCTATGAGTATCCAGGTAAGAAGCGGGTTTTGGATAAGAGAGGAAAAGGGTTGGGGTGGATGGCAGCCCGAAGGTTAGAAGCTAGGAAGGTTTAGATGCTAGGAGGACCTGAGCGGGAGGACAGGTAAGACAAAGAGAGGGGTTTTGGGCGAGGAGGCGAAAAGCCTCAACGTAGGGAATCTCTTTCCATTTTTTCAGGCACAGGCAGTAATTGAAAAGGTCCTGGAGGATATCGGGCTCGAGTGTGCCCTCGGGGGGCCACGTATTTTGGTTGTCTAAGGGATAAAAAGGCCAATCTTGAGTGCAAAATTTTGTGAGGAGTTTGGGTTTAATGTCTGGTTTGAGGGATAAAGTGGTGAGGCATTGTAGTGGGGTATTTCCCCGGAGTGAGGAGGAGGAAGTTCCCATTCTGGAAGAGAGTTTTAGAGGAGAGGAAAAAGAGGAGAATCAGAGGTGAGTCCTTCAGCTGGAGGAGAAAGGCGAGACCCAGAGGGCGTCCCCAATGAGCTGCACCAGTCTCCGGAGGTTCGTGAATGAACCAGCAGAGAAGGAAGGTGTGGGTCGTCACCCAGACCTTACCTTCTCAGGCAATGGCCCAGAGCCGAAGGAACCTAGCGCTAGGCTTTGTCGGCGGGGGTCCTGGACCCAGAAGAAGGAAGTACAAGAGCGGTAGGCAGGAAGAAGGGAGAGCGGAAGAGAAAGAAAGTAGGATGGGAACTTAACCTCCAGGTATTTAGGAGGCATTTACCCTCTCTTCTGCCTCAAGAGACATCTGGAAATACTTGGTAATGCTATCCAAGGCGCCCCGAATATCTGAGTTTTTGATAAATTCAAGTTGTTCAGCAAGTTCTTTTACAGTGTTGTCTAGGTTCTCTGCTTCTGTCTGTAGAGAATCCAGTTCTTTGGAAGCTATATCAGATAATTTCCCTTCTACTTGAGCCATCTTTTCTGTAACATCTTTGGTTAGTTTCTCTGCTTCCTCAAAGAGATTCCCAATGTTTTTTAGCGGCTCTGCTGCTGGGCTGTGGGCCAGGATGTCTTTTATCTCATTGACTTTCTTCTCCACCGAGTCCACAGTCTCCCGGTAAGGCCCAATCACACCACTGATCTTCAAGGCCTTGGCTTTCTCCAGGAATTTGTAGGTCCTGTTGGTCAACTCAGCGATGATCACATCCCAGAGAGCAAAGCACTGGTGACAAGGTGTGCAGTCAGGGAAGAGCCCCGAGTACCCTCGCATGCACTTGTTGCAACGTGGACCCTCGACACCCTCCATGCAGACACACTGGCCCGTGGACTGGTCACACTGTGGTGTCTCAATACCCCTGGGGTCACAGTCACAGGCTCGGCACTCCATGTTGGGGTCTCCCCAGAAGAGCTCCTGGCACTCGCTGCAGGTGCAGCCTCCGAACCCAGGCATGCACTGGCACTGCCCCGTGAACTCATTACAAGATGGCCCGAAGGAATGAGCAGCATTGCAGTTGCATGGGTCACACCCAGTCCCACTGGCCAGCTGCCAGCTATTGGGTGCACAGCGGTCACAGTTCTGCCCAATCACATTAGGAAGACACAAGCACTGACCAGTGGCTTTGTCATACTGGCAGTCAGTGCTGTTACAGTGCTCCTGCACCGTGCCCAGGTAATTGCACACACACTTTCTACAGTCCTGCTGGAGGGCATCTCCATAGTACCCCAAGCGGCACAGCTGGCAATGCTCCCCTTCCGTGTGGTACAGGCACTTGAGGCATCTTCCGGTCTCTTTGTCACAGGCTTCTGGGTCTGTTGTGTCAATGTTGTGGTGACACTGGCAAGGCTGACAGGACCCCCCAACGTCTGATGGATTGCTAAAGAATCCTGAGGCACAGTCCTCACATCTGAAGCCACCCTCTCTTTTTGCCTCCCAAAGTCTGCATATGACTTACCAACGTATCCAGCATCACAAACACACACAAGTTGTAGGGTAACAGGATCTTGATAACAGCTTTTGGCAAACTGGCGTCCACTCTCAGGACCATCTGGGCAAGGGCAAGGGCGGCAGTCATCTCCCGACCCAATGATGGGGTCGCCATAGTAACCAGCCAAGCACTTTTCATAGTTGTGACCTGTGGTATAGTCCTGGCAGCTCAAGCACTCCCCTGTCACTGAGTCACAGTCATCAGCATGGCCATTGCACTGGCAGGGCTGGCAACTCGGAAAGCCCCAGTACCCAGGTAAACACCGGTCGCACTGCCGAGCATACACCCCCTGGAAACAGTGACACTGGCCAGTGATAGGATCGCAGAAGGCATTGACAGCTCCTTGCAGATTGCACTCACAAGGTTTTTATCCACCAGGGCCAAAGCCGAAGGTTCCAGGTGCACACCTGTTGCAGGTTCTTCCAATCACGTTCGGCCGGCACTGGCACTGGCCTCCGTTGGGGTCACACACAGAACTTAATGAACCCTGAGGGTCACATTCACAAGCCAGGCCTGTCTGGTGTAACAGGGCAGAAATGCTAAAGATTATATTTCTGCAAACATCTGTCATTGGCGTTTTCACAACACTTCTGCTGTTCTCCAGACATCAGTATCTCTGAAAGGTTTCCCAGGCACTATTGGTGACCACCCCATCTCCTGAGCCTCCCACAGTGAAGATGTCCAGTGATTTACAGTACGGCATGAGAATGAGCGAGTCAATGAGCGTGTAGGGGTTCTCCACGTCACTATCAGAGGAGGTGTACTGGGGCAGCTCTAACCTCACCGTGTAGTTCATGCCCTTCTCAAAGCACACCGGGCAAGGAAGTACAACGTACCTCGAGCCTGGTGATAAGGACACCACCCTGTTGTCATCATCGGGAACAGTATTACCACATCAGCTGCTGGTTGGAATCTTTCCAGGTCGCTGCACCATGATGATGGCTTTTTCCCAGCGATCAGGTAGCTGTGGCTCATAGCGAATTAGAATGTCGTACTCCATGGAATATGGTATGTTGTCAATGAAAAACTCCAAATAAGCCCCTTCGGGCACTCGGACAAACCCGGCTCCCGTCCAGGAGGGAATCCGGTCCTGGATGTACTGCCACTCCACTATGCTGACCCCAGGCCCCAAATTGGCTTCTTCTGCTTCATAGATGTAGTGATCCAGGGTGGTGAAGTAGTAACCAGACTCCACTTCATTGCACTGACGTCCGATCATGTGAGGCCGACACGAGCACTGGCCTGACTCTGCAGAGCAACTATTGTTTAATGCTCCCCCAAGGTCACAGTCACAAGGTCGACATCCATCCAAATCGTTGCTTAATCCCCAATGCTCTGGCAGACACTGGTCACAATGCTGTCCTGTCACCAGACGCTTACAGTAGCAGTAACCAGTCTCAGAGTCACAAGGATTCCCACCGGGAATCATTCCCAGAGGATTGCAAGCACAAGATTTACAACCAAATGGATCTTCAGCACTTAAGTCATAGAAGCCTTCTTTGCAAATATCACAACGTTCTCCTTCCACATATAATTTACACCAACACTGACCAGCAATGAGACCATCAGAAAAATCAGTATAACTGTCACAAATCCCCCCATTCTGAGAACCAGCTGGGTCACATGTACATTGTTCACAGAGATTAGGATCTCGGATATCCCTCTCCGGGTGCTGGTAGTAAAACGGTTTGCACTGCTCACAGTTGCAGCCCATCGTGTTGTGTTGACAATCGTCACACACTCCTCTGCTGACATTTCCGGTGGCCAGGTAAACTGCCATGTCAAAGTGGCATGAGCTGGAATGTTCATTGCAGTTACACTTTTTACAGGCATTGCTGTTTCGTCCTTCAGCAGGTCTCCAAGGTAAGTCATGGTAGAAATCCATGCACAGTTCACAGTTTAAGCCCTAGGTGTTGTGCCTACACATGCAGTGTCCATGCACCATTCCTTCGACTTCTTCACTGAATCCATCCACAGGGGCACATTTGCTGGCATGGCCATAGCAGAAGCAGTTTCCTCAAACCACCATATCATAAACTGCGTAATAGTACTTTTCTCTGATTTCCATTCTCGAATCCAAAAGGTTATCTCCCAAAGTATGCAGTTTCACGAACTTGATTCTCAAGTTGGTGATTTTTAATAGATTCTGTATCCTTGGGCTATAAGGATCTTCTATTCTGAAAGCAGGATCTAAAGCACGAAATATCACCTCTCCTTCCGTTGAGGGTTCAATGTCAGAATATCGTGAATCACAAATTATGTCATCAACTTTCTTCATGGGGCCAGTTGAAATGCCTGGAAATGAGCTCTCACAGTCATAGGCAAAGTATCTGTACACGCCCCAGGTCTTCCCAAAGTCTGATGATCGTTCTATCAGCATCGCAGCTGGATGGAATGTCTTGAAAGTCACTATGAGATGAGTAAAATGGAATTCTGCTTCCAAATCCAGTTGGATAGTTCCGTTTTCCACACCATTTTCAGATTGCCAACAAATCTTAAGGCGGTTGGGAGCAAATGTAGTGACCACATTTTCAATGAGATGGCTGTCAGGATTGAGGGTCTCATGATAAGGATATTGGGAATTGCATATGAAACACTTTTTGTCCTCCTGCAGATGGCTGACGATACAGTAGGGCTCGGGCTTGTGCAGCCCACACGTCGAGGTCACCGAGAGCTTCTGTGCCCGGCGGATGAGAAGGTTGCCGTGGCGGGGTAGCAGCTGCCTTCAGCGCAGCCGTAGCTGAACTCGGGTTCTTGGGCACGCACTTGGGCTCCGCACAGGGCTAAGAAACTGAAAGCGAACACCTGGAGCAGCCCCATGTCCAGTCCCTGCAGCCGAGGGGACGCGGCAGAGGAAGGGAGAACACGCCGAGCCGCCTGCCCTCTCTTCCCGTCTTCTTTTCGAGGGAGGCGCCTCTGCTCATGCGCACACACGGAGCAGGGGCTGAGGGGGCGGGCGGTGGGAGGCCACAGCCCAGCCAGGAGGGGGGAGGCCCAGGGCTCACCCCCTGGGGCGCCTCTTTTGTGTTCGGGCCGTGTGGTGGCTGCCGGGGCTGGGCTCTCCCGTTCCCAGTGTGGGGCTGTGCTCCACACCTGGGTGCGCATCCTGAGCGGGGCGCGGAGGGGCCGTCCGGGCGGGGGCTTACCTACAGATGAGCCGGTGGTGAGTGAAAGGGAGCCAGCGCCAGAGAAAATTGAGGAGGGTGGACCGTCAGTCCCGAGGGTAGTGGAAGAGTTCGAAGATGGAGTCCCCTGACGCGGGTGAGGGGCAAACTCCTTCCCGGGTTTCGGCACCAATGAAAGGAAAAGAACGGCCGAGACTCGGACTAACAGTTTGCCAGAGAAGTCCCCTTTATTTAAAGACTGCGTGTCTATTTATAGAGAGCTGCGTTCTGGGACTGGGTAGGAAGTGGAAGGGTAGCTGATTGGACGGGGTGGGGCGGCGGTCCCGATTTGTGACAGGTTGGATTCTGGCGCTGGTGGGATCTTTTGGCGCCGGCGGGATCGCTTACAGTGGAGAAGAACCCGGAAGGGCGTCATATTGCTAGGGAGTGTCTCCTGTCGGGTGCCCATGGGATCCCCACATCAAATATAATACTGCTTTGCTATTTGTAATTCTCTGTCTATAATATGGGGAAAATAATAATAGAACCTCCCTCATAGGGTAGATATGGAGTCTAAAATAATTAATACACATAAAGCTTTTAGAAAAAAGCCTTGTGCAAAGTAAGCAATTAAGTGTTAGATGATATTGTAGTTATTATTTACAAACCAACATCTATAGCTGATAAGCTATGTGTAAGCCAACCATCCCTTTCTACTCCTGTCCTGTGACTTTTGTACTTTCCTTCACAGTCTTCTATATTAAGTCTTGGACTTAATATATATTGCCTTTATCAACCCATCTCCTTCCCCCTGCCCCCACTGAAGGATGTCATTCACTCATAACTCTTCAGGGCTGGTGTATGTCTGAGTTCGTATGAATTTCTTTTTGAAAAGGAAAAGAAATAGCTTCAAAAAGGGGTACAGCTACTGTTGCCAGAGTAGCAACTTCTTTTGGCAGTGTTTGGAAATTAACTTGCTTATTTTTAGTTGAGCATGAGAGTAGAGAAGGATCAATAGATGAGTGAGGAAGTGGGTAGAGCTGAGAGAGCTCTGGGAAACTTTGATTTCCCTACTTTTTCTCCTTTTTAAAAAAATATTATAGTCTACTGTAAGGGGGAAGTATCCCTTCTTGTGGGGTAAAATGTTATACTGATGAGCCTTATATGAATAAATAGTTATTCTTAAGTTGATATTTGTAACTTGGAGGATATTTTAGTCTGACATTTTAGTAAGCAGTCAACAATTTTTGGAATGAATATAATCAAATAAATATGCCTTTAAAAAAGACATTGGAATTTTACTAATTCAGCTGAATTGAAAAGTCGATCAGAAGTTTTGAATCTAGAAGCTAAAGAAAGGTCTACTTCAAATTAACTTGGTTTTGATCCAGATGCTTTAAGAACAAGACTCTTGATTGAGGAATTCCGAGTGCATCAAATCACCATTCTGAAAGTAGTATTTTACTGTATAACCATATTCTACTGATGTAATTTAATCTTTTCCTTTGTCGTAAAACAAATGAATAAAATCTCTGACCAACTTTCTTTCCTGATGATAAACTGAAATTTCTGAGTGACGGGACTAATGTTTGAAGGGTTAATTTTCAGTTATCTATAAGATCAATTGCATTGTGACTTCTTTTGGTGACAGAATTTTGTTTCACAATCCACATCCTTATTTCCTAGTCTCCTTTGAAAGATATGGTTTATAACACTTAAAGAAAGCAATTCCACTTGGGCTGGTGCTATTTAGTTTGGGAAGGAAGTTCACACCTTGAAAGTAGCAGACTTTTCACATCTTAATAGAAGGGCATAGAGCAAAGTTAGCACTTCTGATTTTATAAAACAGCATCCTAATAGGTAATGTGAAAAAGCATATAAAAAAAGAGAAACAAAATATCTTTACCCAGTAACAGGGCCTAAGATAGTCTCTTTTGTAGACTCTAAATACAATTGAGGCCTCACGTCTCATATAGTCCTGACTGGTAGTTTAGGTCAGTGTACCTTCAAAGTTGATAAAGCAGGGTATCTTAAATGTTTTTTATACTAACTTAGAACATATAAATGTACATTTGTTCACCAGTCTTTTGACATATTATCCTTTGCTCAGTATCTCAGGAACCTACTCACTCTTTTGAAAAAGTAGTTTTTATATGTATCATAGATTGTCTCTGTACTAATTGAGAGTGAAGGATGAATTTTGTAGACATAGAAATTTAATTTAAAATATTTTAATTTAGAGACTCTAAGATAGTGAGATATTATGGCTTTAAAGTATTTCATGATGGAACAGAGCCAGCAGTTATTCTTTTATCAAGGATTGTGTTAGAATGTGAACAAAAATATTTATCTACTAAGTCAGCTTTTGGAGGGCAGAGGATGATCAAAGTCAATTTTACCAGGATTTTGAATATAATAGAACTTGGTATTCAATACAAAAGTGATAATGAAAACCATAAACATTCTTCTTATTGGCATCTGATAGAAAAATATGATAAATCAGAAATTTAGGGCCGAGTCCTTGGCGAACTAGGGAGAGTGCGGCACTGGGAGTGCAGCGGTGCTCCCGCCGTGGGTTCGGATCCTATATAGGGATGGCCGCCGGTGCACTCACTGGCTGAGCGTGGTGCGGCCAGTCTCAAAAAGGACAAAAAAAAAAAAAGAAATTTAACTTAGATGCAGTCTGTTCCTCAGTAAAGGTTGAAAGTAGGAACTTAGAATTCAAATAAAATTTAAAATAAAGTTGAAAATATTTAACTGTTTCATAGGAGCAAAACAGGTACTCTAAGTATTGGCCTTTTTTAGATTTTTTTGAGATTTTATATCATAATCTTACATATAATCTGTGTCATTAAATTGTCCAAAAACACTATTGAGGCCCATATTTGGTACTTGTGAAAGGTAATTTTTAGCCATATTTAGTTATTCTAATTACTACATAAAATTTTTCTGCTGTTTGCAGTGTTTATTGAGATCATTAAGATTAATAAACTCATGGTCAGCCTCTGCCTAGAGAGTCAAGTATATTATTTATTATGTCAGGTTGAAATATTTTTAGGATTTTTTTCCTTCAGTGAATCCTTCACGTACTTTTCCTCCTGTGTTCTCTATTTGTGCTTATCTTCAGTCTATAACAGCTGGTTGGGTATCCTGCTACTATCTATTCTTCAACACATCCAACCCACTGTTTGTAGGTTGGCCACATTCCAGGACTTCATGTTTAGTGTTCTTCTTCTGTAGGACTCAGATAACATTTCCAAAACTCCTCAGGGAACCAGATGTAATATCTGTGGTAGGTCCAGGTTTCGGAAGGTTTGTAAAATAATGTTCTCTAACCTTTAATTTAGTCTGAAGTTTGATTTTATATTAATGCCCAATAGCTTCTTGATTTGATTCCCTAATTTTTAGTTAATCAATTTACCATTGCACAACATGCTCCCTGTTTTTTTCTCATGAAAGTCTTAGGTTATCTACAAGATTTCTCTTGTGCAGGTTTGTATAGAGCAACTGCTGTTTTGGGGGTTTGCTCTTATTAATCTGTCAACCTATGAAAATATTCATGATTAATGTCATCTCAAGTGTAAAGTATCAAGAGCACAGTCATTTTACAAACAAGAGACTTATTAAACCAAGGAATTTCTTTTTTCATGCTGTTTAAGCTTTTTTGATTACAAGGTAAGTGGAAATCTGTCCAGTGAATGAAGAAGGAGGAGATGAAAAAGAAACTCTTTTTTCTTCTGTGTAAGTGAAGAAGTTACCCTTAGAGTAAAAACTGGATGTTAGAGGATGAAGAAAATGTGGCATGTATAGTAGTATTCACAATGAAATACTACTACTCAGCCATAAAAAAAGAATGAAATTCTGCTATTTGCCCCAACATGGATGAACTTGGAGAAAATTATGATAAGTGAAATAAGCCAGGCACAGAAAGAGAAGTATACATGTTCTCATTCATATGTGGAAGCTAAAAAAGTTGATCTCATAGAAGAAGAGAGTAGAATAGTGGTTACTTACTAGCAACTAGTAAGGGGGGGGATTGAGAGAGGGTGGGAAGAAGGGGGGAGGGTGGTCAATGGTACAAAATTGTAGAGAGGACGAATAAGATCTAATGTTCTATAGCAATACAAGGAGACTACAGTCAACAAAAAATTACTGGATAGCTTCAAGTAGCTAATTGAGAGGATGTTGAATGTTCCCACCACAAAGATGTGACACATGTTTGAGGATATGCTAAACACCCTGATATGATCATTGCACAAAGTATAAATGTACCTAAATATCATATTGCAGTCCATAAATATATACAATTATCATGGATCAATTAAGAGAAAAAAAATTTCAGAGACAGAAGTAGATTAGAGGTTACCAGAAATAGGGGGAGGGGGAGAGGAATAATGAGAAGTTATTGCTTATTGGGTACAGAGTTTATGTTTAGGATGATGAAAAAGTTTTGGAAAAAGATAGAGGTAGTGGTTGCGTAGCATTGTGAATGTAATTAATTCCATGCAATAGTATATTTTAAAATGCTTAAAATGGGAATTTTTATGTTATATGTGTCTTACCACAATAAATTTTTTTTGAAAAAATGGTTGTTAGGGAAGAAGTTAGCAGCTACATTCTCTTAAGCATCTGGAAGCAGGAAAATAGTATATAAAGATCTGAGAGCTGAGGTTAAGCCCTGAAGCAGCTCTATAGCTGAATCTTGCATTGGTAACA